CCCCAAAAAAAAAACAAAAACACCAAAACCAAACATATGCTTTCCTGGGGAGTCTGTTCAAAGTTTATGGTGGTGGGAATGAACATATCAGACAAATTCAGCTCATGAATCCAAGGAAGGTTAAATACTTGAAAGTTGAGATGGAATTGTGAATTTAAAAATACCAAACAAACAAAGGACTATCTGCAAACATGGAGGTGGCTCAGAAATACTGCACTAGGAATGCAGCTTAACTGCTGCAATTCAAAAATAAAATGAAGTGCTGTTGTAGAAAAGTTATTGTAAGAGAAAAGGTTGACACGTCAGGAAATAAAAGAAGTCCTGAAAACTCAGAGATTGTGGCAGGTCAGATGTGAATGGGAAATCCAGAGGGATAAAAAGAATCTGAAAGAGCGTACTGCTAAGAGTGCTCAAGCCAACAGTGAAAAGTTACTAAAATGTAGTAAAAGCAGGAAGTTGATGAGACTGTTGGATGTTGAAGATATAAAAGAAACACTTGGAATGAGTGTTGGCCATAGCGAAGAAACTCAGCAGATTCTAAGGAACTTTATTTACTAGGTTTTTCTGTCCTGCCTGTGTATGCCCAGTCAGAATTGCTCGGCATCACTGTTAGCTGCGTGATTCCAATCAGATGCTTCCACAGCCTTTTTATTTTCTTTATCAAAGCTGTGTAAAGCTGAGTAAGAGTCGGGGTAGGTGCTAGGCGATAGAAATGGAGTTTGATGAAAACCGTGTCCTGGTTCCCCTATTAAAAAACAGATGGGGAACATCAATCCAATGAAACACACTGCTTTGGGAAGGAGGGGAAGGGGGGATGATGGCATTGCTTCTCGGAGACTCATCTGCTTTAAACTGGATTCACTAATTCTGTCCTGCTTCCTGTGGGAGACACTGTGAGTTCCAAAGAAGGAACATTGATTTCAGAATGCTTTAAAACTGTGCTGCAGACCCTAAGGAATTTCTAGTCCTTGCAGTTTAGCCACTACATATCTAGAACTGTTCTTATTTTCCATACAAATGTCCTACTGTTTAAAAACCTTGTTTAGATCCTGGCTTCATCAAAGGTTTGCCTTGAGGAACTGATTTTTTTTCCCTTGGTCTTAAAAACCTAGGCTGCTGTACTACATTCAACCTCACTAAACAATCCATTAACTAGACTGAGTGTGGAGTTGCTTGTCTTGCAGGTTTTTTGACAGAGATTGTTGCACTAGCTCTCTTTAATGGATGACTGTTTCTTTTTGCAGTCCTAGCATTTGACTGCCTTATGTTTGTAGCAACTTTTGTAATATACAGTTGAGTTGTTTTAGAGCAATGTTCCCTGTTGAAAATGACTGCTTTGCTTCAGGCTGCTTTGCTGTGAAGTTACATGGTAGTTCTGTTTGTTCAGGGAAGGGCTAAAAGCCCAGTGGAGCTTTTTGACTACTAGCAATGAGTATGTTTTTCATCACTGCTGCTAAACTGTTTACAAACTAGTGTGAAAGCTTTCATCGTTTCTTTAGGGTACTTGAAAGGAGAGGGTCAGCAAACATAACCTGGTTGTTAATAGATGGCAAACTACCTAGCTATTCCGGTCTCTAAAACAGAGATGTTATTGTTGAATGCTTTTATTGTAGTTTAGGAACAGTCTGATTATCTTGTGTCATAACACTTGACACCACACGAAAAGCAAAGTTTCCTTTAGAAATTTTTAGGACTAGAAAGGAACAGTTCTTAAAAGCTTGCAGTTGTTTCGTTAACGTCGTGGCTCTATTCCAGATCTGAATTGGCTAATATACCATAATTTGAAAATACTGTTAGACTTGCAAGGGAAGAAAGAGTAACTGGGATGACTGTGTCTTTAGGCAGTAGTGTTATTTAGACTTGTGAAAATGTTTAACTGTATGCGGTTGCTTGGCTGAGATCAGGGGTAGGTTATTTCCTTAGCTGATGCAGGAAGCTGTCTACCAAAAGGAAACTGAACACTTGACAATGGACAAACCTATTTGTAAGATTCGAGTCACAGAACTCTTACCAATCTCTTCTAATAAGATAAAGTTGAGACCATTATTTGTGTTCTTTTAACAGGTGGTGTTTCACAAAATGTCTCCCAATGAGACTCTGTTCTTGGAAAGTACCAACAAGATCTACAAAGATGATATTTCCAACAGTTCATTTGTGAATTTCCAAATATGGGATTTTCCTGGACAAATGGACTTTTTTGATCCAACATTTGATTATGAGATGATCTTCAGAGGAACAGGTGCTCTAATATATGTTATTGATGCCCAGGTAAATACAAATCACTAAGAATGACGAGGAAGTTTTTGCTTTGTGTGCGAGAGGAATGATCGCGAAGTTAATAATTTATATTTTCAGATAAGTTCGTAAAACATCTGTTAAGTATGAAAGGATGCATTGGCAATCTAACTTTCGGTGAGTGGTTTTTAGTTTTGTGAAGTGACTGGAACATTCGCTCCCAGTGGAGAGAGTGGGAAGGGGCGCGTACTCTGAACTTACCTTTTCTACAATAATAGTGAGAACCTGCTGTGCTACATGGCCTGAATTATTCCTTTCTCTCCGCTGTTGACTTTTATGGAGTTCATTTAATAACAACACACTTCTGACTTCAGTTTCAAGTACTGGTACTATTGGGTAGCTTCTAATGACCATAGGAATTTCACTGTGGGAGATTACCTGGTTATTAGGACTGTCTTGGAGATCGCTGCTGCCTTCTGACGGAGTTGAAGTGTAACCTGCCTTTTGCTCTGAAGCCTAATTTTGTGTGGCTGAGCCTTGTATAGCTAACGCAACTTAATTTACCTAATAGAATCTAAGATACTTGGATTTCTGACGCTCCAAGGTATTCTCTTCTCCCATACTTCTGTTTAGTTAAAGGAGTGACGTGAAGTTATTGCGCTGAAATATTTTATCCTTGTGCAGAATGGAACAGTTATCAGAGACAAAGCCTTGTCATTCATTCCTGCCAAAACTGATTTACAGGATGACTACATGGAAGCTTTAACAAGACTCCACATTACAGTTTCAAAAGCCTACAAGGTCAACCCGGAAATGAACTTTGAAGTTTTTATTCATAAAGTTGATGGTTTATCAGATGACCATAAAATAGAAACTCAGAGGGATATTCATCAGAGGGCTAATGATGACCTTACCGACGCTGGGCTTGAAAAACTTCACCTTAGGTGAGTTAAAGATTCTGCTGTTGCTGATACGCATACAGACTAATGGCTTTTAGATGTAATGGTGGATGGACCAGAGCAAGGGCCTTGTTAGTTTCTTAATTTTGCACAAACTCGTGTTATAAAATACACTGCTGAGTTTATGGCCAAGCCTCAGCTATTAGGCAGACTAAAATAAGGCAGGCTACTGTATTAGATTCCAGTCAACAAATTTATTCATAAACTCACTGATAATTAATGGTCCTTTTGCATACTTTTCATTCAGCGTAATAGGCTGAATTTTTACACATGGCTTGGAGGAGCAGGGGCAGGGAAAGGAGCAGGGAAGCTGCCTGCCTTCTAGTCCTAGCTAGCACTGATTTTTCAGCATGATTGGTTTTAAAAGCTTAGTCTCTTACTTGATATTTGTCTCGCTTTTAAGGTGTCTTCTACTGACACCTTAAAATCCTTTCTCTGTTTTTACTGCTGTTCTGATTCTTGTGGAGCCTTTAAGTATTGACAGTATCTCTTGGTGTTAATGTGAACGAAGTGGAATGCCAGGAAAAACACCTTTGTGATAAGCATTCTGTAGGCTGTGTGTGTTGTGAAAGCACGTTCAAATTTTTCTCTCTGTTCTCCCATCTCCCAGGGAGGGGGAAGTCTGTTTCATGTTTACTCCATTCACTCAGAAATTATGCTCTTGGTGCAGTGGCCAGGTATATTTGTGATAAAGGCATCCCAGCTAAATCATCAGTCCTGAATGTTAAAAAACATAGCTTTAACATTTCTATTGCAGTTCTGAAATACTTTTGAATCTTTGTTCTTTTTTCTTTATTTCCCCTCCCTCCTCATCTCAGCTTTTATTTGACCAGTATCTATGACCATTCAATATTTGAAGCCTTCAGTAAAGTGGTACAGAAGCTCATTCCACAACTACCAACGCTGGAAAATCTGCTAAATATCTTTATATCAGTAAGTGTTGATCTAACGGAACTTTGAGTGAAATACACGGAATGGTAAAGCAAGTCCTTCCGCTAAGAAATGCTGGCTAGATCTGCCCTTGGGAGATTCGGGTGGCACTCATGTTGGTGTATTCTGCTGGCACAGTTGTCTGCAGTAGAGGCTCTTTACCACAGCTAAATTGTACTGGTGTGTGCTTTGTGTGTGTTTCTCTAAATACTGACGAAGCATAGTTTGGCTGGTTATAATTGGCAGTATGGAGGTTTTCTGCCAGCACGATATACTGATTAGTCTGCTAAGGCACTTAGTACGCTAATGTAATTGTACTGGCAAGAGACTTTTTTCATAATATGAACCTGGCCTTGAACTAAACTGTCTTATTTCATGTGGTCTGTGAGACTTCTGACCTTATTTTTTTAGCGTTTGCATTTCTTAAGGAATTTGTGACGTAGAAATTTGCTGCTGTATACAAACAAAATGTCACCTTAGAAACAAGGCTGAAGTAGCCTGTCTCATTTAAGTTATATCTGTGAGGCTGTTGCAGGCGTGTGGACAACACAGGAAAAAAAAAAAAACAACAAACCAAACCAGTTGTGATTGAGAGGAGCTGTGTGGATCAGACGTGTCCCCCCATGCTACTGCACAGTGCTTGTTTCCTCTGTTGGTAGGGGGCTATCTGTAATAACCTGTGGGTAGTGGGCACATTAATGTTCACCCATCTCAGAGCCATGAGAGTATGGAGCGTGGCCTTGAAGAGATCACCTGGATGTGCTCAGGAGGCTGCCTTGAGTATTAAGACTAGGATGAAGCGATAAGGAATCGCACTTTCTGGTGCATAAATAGAAATTAAGCTTTGCCTGAAATCCATAGTATGTATGTGGCAACTTGTGCAGGCTTCTGAACATAGTATGAGCACGTGCACTTTGACAAAGGTCTCGGTTACAAATGGGATGGTACAATTGGCTTGGTGCTTTCCCCATACCCTTAACTGCCATAATGCGATACTCCTCATGGAGTCCTAAGTTTGGAAGCTGATTTTATTTGCTCTGCATGTTAAACTACACAGCAACTGCCTCACACAGAAGCTGAACTGTCAAGATACTACAAGCGTAAAATTTAAGGGTCAGCATACTATTATGAAGTAACTTGTCTCTGAGCCTGGTCTGTCAGGTGGATGTGAGTGTGCAGCTCTTCGGCAGGTAATAGAACCACAGAAGAGGAAAACTGCTGAATTTGGGTTCTGGAAGCATAGTAAAATGTAACCTTAATTATGATCTGGAAAATAATAAATTAAAAGAATTCTAACTGAGTCCCCAGCTTTACTTTTGTTAACTAGAAGGTGATGTTGATATGTACTATGGCAACAAGGGTATTGTATTTATAAACTATATGCTGTAAGTCTTGATTCTGTCTTTAAGCTTCTAAATCGGATATGTTTAGGCAATTTCCTGCTATTAAGAATGTGAAAGTGTATGAATTCTACTTGAGATTTTTTTAAATGCAGTTTTTTAAAAAATTCATCCAAATTCTTTCTCTTTCTGAAGAATTCAGGCATTGAAAAAGCTTTTCTCTTCGATGTAGTCAGCAAAATCTACATCGCAACAGACAGTTCCCCTGTGGACATGCAGTCATATGAGTTGTGCTGTGACATGATTGATGTAGTGATAGATGTTTCCTGTATATATGGGTAAGTGATAAAAACTTTTAGGAAAAAAGTCCTTAAAAGTTACAGAATAGGTTGCAAAGTGTGCAAGTGGGGCTGGCTTTGTCATCCAGCAAGATGCTATCGATTGGTCTGCAGAGCACATTGGTTCTGGAAATAACTAGAATGAAGCCACATTATTTGGCAGCTGGATTGAGCATTTGTACTCAGTTTGTTTCCTTCCACTCGTGGTATTAGACAGCAGACATTTGTAAAAGTCAAGTAAAGTCATGTAAAATATGAATACTGCTGTGTCTCATTTGGCACAGTGGGTGCAAGTCTGGTAATACCTGCAAGTCACTGTGGTGGGTAGCATGCCATAGCTCGTAAGTGTAACTTGCAGTCACATTGCTTTGAGATTTGTCGCTGTATGAACGGAATAGCTTTTCCAAGGTCAACTTGGCTCTTGCTGACTTCCTCTGAAGGATGCATATAGTGCTTATTTCTCTCAGTTGACTTCACAAGAGATTTTTGAATTGGCTTTGGAGAAGCAGTAATTTTATTTTAAAACTGTGGTTGTAGCCTAGAAAATACAGTGCTGCCAAGAAACATTTATAATGATCTGTCTTCTGATGGGTCCACCTGGGGATGTGTAAATATTTTGGGTTTTTTTAGGAGTGAGTGCTTAGAAATAGCTTGTGATACATCTTTTGCTTCTACAGTATTTTAATTAACACTAATAACTTGCAGATAGAAAGCGGCATCCTAATCTTTTCTTGTAAATGCAAGCTGGTTTCGTTTAAGACCAAAAAGTGTCCTGCTCCCTGTTGCAGCCCCCCTCGTGCCCCAGCCTCACTCAGGAAGCCTTTCTATTAATTTACCAAAAGTAATTTTGCTGAGATGTCACTTCATTGACATTTCTATGTAGAGGTCCTGCATTAGAATCTTCAATCACTTGATACGTTACTGTGGCACTGTAAACTCGGTGAGAAGCAGCAACTCTTTGGTTTGAAGGTAAACTGTGCTATAACCAGTGTACAGTACCACCTCCATTAAGGATGCTCAGCTGTAAGCTGAAAACAGTAGTGACTAAATAGCCACAGCTCTTTAGTTTGATATCAAAAGAATCCATGCTGATAGCTTGCTCTTAACTGCAGGACTAAGATAGTATATAGTGAAGGCCTCTACTCTGTTTAGGTTTAGCTTTTCTGAGAAACTTAAAGTGTGATAATGGCCTTACAATAGTATTAAGACTTGCATCACGGGTTCTTCACTTGCTCACGTTCAGTGTAAGTGATACTCTTCTAACTGCATTTAAGAAATACTTGTCGTGACGTTACATATGCATGCCTATTAGATTATGTCTTGGGTTAACTCCTTCTTTCTTAGGTTGAAGGAAGATGGCACTGGAAGTGCTTATGATAAAGAGTCAATGGCAATTATCAAGCTCAATAACACAACAGTCCTGTACTTAAAGGAAGTAACGAAGTTTTTGGCATTAGTTTGTATTCTTAGAGAAGAGAGTTTTGAGCGCAAAGGTAAGGACTTTGCCTGTTTTGAATTGATTTTATCAACTGTAAAATATTAATATGACTTTTGCAAGTCACCTTGATTTTTGTGTAACTAAATTTGTTTAATTTTTTTCTGGGAGGAATTTATCTTTTCTTAGAGATAGGTATAAAAAGGTCTTATTTTTATTCTTGTGAATCATTGCTTTAATCACTGTCCTGTGAAATGACTTGTGTAGCTAATGTGGCCTGTGTTACTACCATCTGCTATAGTGGAATCAGCAGAATGGAGTGATGCTTATTATGTTCTGCCTGGTAGCTGCTGTATTGTGAATAGCCATATTTGCTATCATGTGTCGCACTGGTGTAATTCTTTTAACATATAACTGAAGAAATCAACAGTGGTAGGCTAGTACAGCATGTGGTAGGAACTTAGAACAAAGTGTTTAATACACTGCAGGTCTGACCAACTATGTAGTTGCTTGGACCTGTAGGAGATGATGGTATAAACTGTCTTGCATATGTTACGGGGTAGAAATGACAGCGTAGGCCCTACTTTCAAAGTATTTGACTTAAATGGTGATAGTACTTACCTTGGCATTTTAAAAAGAAAGACAGATGTGTTTTTTAATAGCTGTACTGTCTTTGATCTCAAAGTTTTTATCCCCACAGTTAGGATATGTATCAATGACATAAAGTGCAAGATAACATTCAAGTGATGGTTGTGCTGTACTAGCTTGTTTTTTGGGGGCAGAGTCTTGTGTTGTCCCCTCACCTGCTGTTTAATTATTAATATACACCTTGCATTCCAAATGAGGTTTGTTTTTTTTTTTTTTTTTCCTGTCCTAAAACCAGAGACAGTCTAAATAAATATTGTAATCAGTAAAACTTAGTTAAATCTTCTGAATCTAAATTCATACTAAAATAAGTAGCAAAATAGCTGCTGGTTAAATGAAACATTTTATATTTATTTTGAAGCTCTGTTGATTATGTAAATGTGCCAAGCTGAGCAGTTTTTCCTCTTCCCTCCCCCTCCTCCTTGACAGGTCTGATAGACTACAATTTTCATTGCTTCCGCAAAGCCATTCATGAAGTCTTTGAAGTAGGTGTTGCCTCCCACAGAATCTGCAATCATCAATCAAGCACCTCAAATATGAAAGCAGTGACTCACAATGGCACACCTAGGAATGCAGTCTAGAGGAAAACTAAAGACATTGGATAGACTTGTCAGCCCTTCACTCCGAAATTTTGTGGAACAACAGGAGAGTAGTCTGAAAGCCTGAAGTATGTTTCACAGCAGAAGAGTGGCAGTAACTGTGGAACAGCACCTTGTAACTCATGTTGGACAACTGGAGCTACTGTAAAAATACTTTATGAGGCCAGTGGAATCAGAAGTGCTGATTGAAGCCAGTTTTATTTCAACTGCAGTGGTTTTTCAGTTCGGAGCCCTGTTTTAATAGTCTGTCTCTGACTGATCGCCCCATCAAAACTTACAAATGATTGAGTTTTGTGTGAAACACCAAATAGTCACTTGCTCAATTTTTTTTAAATTAATCTGTAGAATATCCACTTTTGCTTAAGTTTACCCTTTTGTCATGGGGCGGGGGGAAAGGGAGGTGTGTATTACTATTTAGGCTTGTGAAACTCAGGCTTTTTTGTTTGGTGAGGCTGGTCTCACAAATCATTCCATAAAGTAGTTCTTGCTCTCACCTGTGTGCTCAGGATATTCTTGTGAATTCTGTACTTGTTAAGTAGATGCAAGGTAGAGCTCTGTTCTAGTGATTCATTTTAAGAGATTATCATACTTTGCTTTCAGACCACGATTCTGGTACGCCCCCTTTGATGGAAGGGAAGTATTGAAACCAGAAATAAACTACCTGCTCTCTTTTGCAAAAACATGGATGTCATAAATCTGTGTGATTAATCTTATTCACAAAACAACTGCATGGCTAACTAAACTGAAATGTCTGCCATCTGTTGGAATAAAGCAACCACTTTCAGCTATTCCCAAATGAAGAAAGGACAAAGTTACTGACTTTTGATGATGGATCTCTCTACCCTCTGACTGATAATCAAGACAATTCCTAGGAAAATGTCTGAGGGTGTTGTCCTTGCACAGCAATTAAATATCCATGTGCCACAACCTACCAGTAATACTGGACACTGAAAGTGGGTTCGTTGATTCTGTACTGTGGCAAACACCCGTCTTGTTTGTCGCCATGCAATCTGAATGGAATTTTTTTTTTCCTGATTTTGTAAATGCTGGCTTTCATACTATGGGAGGTATATCTGAACTGTTTTATTCTAATTTATTGGTATTATTACTCAGCTACTGGCTTGTAAAGATCTTGCCTCTTTTTACTTGTCCCTATGTGTGTATAGGTGTTGCAAAGCTACTGGACCAACTGACTATCCAAGTGCCACTGTAAAAGTTCCTGCAAGAAGATCTGTAACCGTAAGCGATCTCTGCAACTGATGTATTTATGTGGTCAGAAATAACCACCCGAATGCTTCTGTGCTTGTAGAATGGATTATCACTGAACTGTGTAAAAATGAATATACATGTATTAACATTAGGGTGTATGCACATACTGTGTAAATGTTTTTCCTTTGTTTTAAAGATGATGTATGATACTAAATACGTAAAGGATCTGCTCCAAAAGTTACCAGTCAGCAGGAGAATTGGGAATTCAAGTGCTCGAGTTCAGTTCTCTTAACAGCAATTGTAGTTCTGAACCTAGGCTGAGCCCCTTTTTGGTAATGCAACTGCAGTTAGTTTTTTGGTTTGTTTTTTGTTTGGTTGGGTTTTTTTAAAGGAAGTGCTGCGGGCTTGTAAAATTGGGGTTTGTAGCTTGCGAGCTCTAGTTCTAGTACCCAAGGTGAGTGGAGAAATAATTGGCAAGATCACAGGAAGGAAGAAATTCCCATTTGTGCAGCGAGTTTTCCATGTTCTAAGTATATGTGTATGTTCCTTTTGCTGTCTTCACTCTACATGATTTTGTGCTAATAAAATGAAAAAAGGTCAAACTGTAACACTATTGTTTCAGTTGGAGGGTGAAACACTTCAACAAAAGACTACAAAAGCCTCCATGGTTAAGCAAATTTTTAAAAAGCCATGTTATCTTCACAGTATTTTTTTAAAAAGTTGAATACCACCTTCCCATGTGAGGCTTTAAAAATTTTAGTCAGCCTTAGCTTTCCTCTCAATTAAAAGCTGACTCCAAACTGAATACTTGGTTTTCAGAAGATGCATATAAATGATGAAGTGACTTGTGCTCTTCTTTTGATTAATGGTGAGCTTTGGGCTGTGTTCTGAAATTCTGCTTTCCGGTGTGCATTGTGGTGGGTTTTTTGGTCACCATTACCTTACTCTTGAATGGTTGCATTTACTAAAGGTTAATAGTAGCATCTTAAAACAGAATAGTGATTATTCTCACTATTACCTGAATAATATTAGCTTTAAAAGTTAAATTTGTCTCTAGTAAGGAGCACGATATTTCTCAAGTTTACTAGATAACATTAATCAACTTAAGTCAGATGCTGCTACGTTGCTGCTTTAGCAAGGCAGTTTTCAGTTTCTGGTGAAATCTTTATGCTGTCAGGGAGGGAGGGGGAAAGATAGGAATTATACCTTATTTTCTTTCTTGTGCAGGGACCTGTCTCCCCTTCCTGTGCTGACCTCCTGCAGGGAGAGATCCTGGTAGAGCTAAGGGAAGGCAATATCACAGTCTCTGCAATAAAAGGACTGAAATTGTAAAAAAAAAAACCCCATCAACTTGTGCTTTACTTTTCCACCTTTTCTATCAGCTCTGAGCCTGCAGCCGTACAGATGCTCTGCGGCCTTTTTTGCAAACACCGGAGGACGTGCGTGTGTGTAAGGAGAGAAAAGGTGGAGCTTGGAGGGTGTGGAGGGAAAGGTGACTGGGCTGCAGCGAGAAGGAATAAAATCTCTTTGTGCTGCAGACTCAGGCTCCCTCACAAGATGCCTTTGGGGCACCAGGTGCGTGCTGGTTCCTGGCTGGGTTTCCAGTTGACAGTCACGCCAGCTGTAGCACAGGAAAGGGAAGGAGGGGAAGGCCAAGCCTGGGAAGAGGGGGGCAGAGTAATGAGAGATGGTGTCTCGCTGCCGTCCTGAAGATTTAAACTCACCCAAAGAAGAAGCTCTTCCC